AAGAGAAGTTTATTTCTTCACAGTCAAAGTAGGCTAAAAGTCCAAATTCAGGGCATCAGCTCCAGGGGAAGGCTTTCTCTCTCTGTCAGCCTTCTCATCAATATTCCCCCGGACTAGGAGCTTCTCTGCACAGGGACCCTGGTCCAATGGATGCGCTCTGCTCCCGGCACTGCTTTCTTGATGGTATGAGGTCCCCCAACTCTCTGCTCACTTCTGTCTTTTACATCTCAAGAGATTGCCTCAGGACACAATCCAGTCTTGTAGATCCAGTCCTGCCTTACTAACAGAACCGCCACACATCTTCCCTCATTGACATCATAGAGGCAGGATTTACAACATATAGGAAAATCACACAGTACCAGGAATCATGGCGCAGCCAAACTGATATACACATTTTTGGGGGGACATAATTCAAACCATGACATCTTTATTCCTTTTTTATCACTCCAGTTTTTATCAAGGCTCATATTGTGGTGTTTTGAAGGGATTGTGTAGCTTATTATTTTTTTAATGGTAATGCAGCCCTAGAGAATTCTCATGTCTCTAAGACTGTGCCCGGCTTTGTAAAGTCCACCAGGGTTGCATACTGTAAGAGATGAGAACCAGATGTGTTCCCCAAATATTTTAGGAATATCAAACTCAAAACTTAACATTTACTGAGAACTTGCTATGTGCCAGGCATTGATCTAAGTACTGAAGAAAGGGATCTAAATCATAGCTTGTGGCTTTCCGTGGATTGAGGAGCAAGAGTTAAAGAGAGAAAAAGAGAGAGAGAAATTTACTCTATTTTTTTTAAATGCATTCATTTAAAACACTTTACAACCAAAGCCAATTTTGAATGATTTTTCAAAATTTTTAACCTATTACTTTGACATCCTATAGATACATCAAGTAGACTGGTACTCTCCATGCTGACAGATATTTCAGAGTCAAAGTCTTTTTAGAACAGTTTTAACATGTCCACTATTTTCATGAGTGCAGTAGGTGACAATCTGTGATTCACCTTTCTATTACTTACTGGAATGAAAGAAAATTCCTCTTCCTTAGTGGCTCAATGTTTGGAGACCAGAAAATATTCCTCAGTCATGAAACCATGCACAGAAGCCTTTTTTTCCTCTCTTAATGAAGAAAGATGTGAACTGGTTCATTCTGTCCCATACCAGACTTTTCTGTTACACTGTGTCCTCCCACCTGCCAGAGCCTGAGAGTTTAAGGCCAACACTAGGGTCACTATAAGTTGGAATCCACTTCATGGCAACAGATTTTTTGGTAAAGATCTAATACCGATCATGTGTTAACTTTGGCAGTCCCTGAGTGGCGTCAACGGTTAAGTGCTAGACTACTAACTGAAAGGTTAGTGATTCGAAACCACCCAGAAGTGCCTTGGAAGAAAGCCCTAGTGATCTACTTCTGAAAAATCAGCCAGTGAAAACCCTGTGGAGTACAGTTCTACTCTGAAGCACATGGGGTTGCTGTGAGTTGGAGCTGACTCAATGACAACTTGTTGTCGGGTGCCGTCCAGTCAGTTCCAACTCATAGCGACCCTATAGGACAGAGTAGAACTGCTCCATAGGGTTTCCAAGGCGTGGCTGGTGACTTTGAAGTGCCAACCTTTTGGTTAGCAGCTGAGCTCTTAACCACTACACTATCAGGGCTCCCAATGGCAACTAGTAAACTAAAACCAGAATGACGATGAGAAGTTCAGAGTGTTTCTTCTGTGAGGTTCACCTCAAGTCCTGGGGCAGCTGTCTGCTGATAGGGCAAACCCGAAAAGCCTAAACACAGAGCATGCATGCCACAAAGATCAGTTTTTCTCTCAGGGCAATCTTAACTGTACAACTCTCTAAAGGACGCAGGCAAATCCTGGACTAGGAAATCTGTGACACATCTATTGCCACACATCAACTGCAAAAGTACCCCCTCTACATGGTGAGGACAGTCACTCCACAAACATCCACCTAGGGACAACTAAGCAAACCATGGATTCACCCTACACCCACATGGGGTTTGTAACAATGTAAAATGCCCCCGTTATGCAGCAAAGTGTATCTCCTAAAAAAAATTATGTTGAAGTCCTAACTCCAGGTACCTGTGAACAGGACCTTGTTTGGAAATAAGATCTTTGAAGATGTTATAGGTTAGGTTAACAGGAGATCATATCTGAGTAGGGTGGGTCCCAATCCAATCTGACTGGTGTCTTATAAAAGAGAAGAAGACATAGAGGAAAGACGGCCATGTGAAAAGGGAGTTAAGCTGTAGCTGTGTGCCGAGGAACACTTGGATTTACCAGAAGCCGGAAGAGACAAGAGAGGATCTTCCCCTAGAGCCTTCAGAGAGAACATGGACTTCTAGTCTCCAGAACTGAGATAATAAATTCTGTCCTTGTAAACCACTTAGTGTGTGGTAAGCGAAACCTGTGAGAGCCGGAACTCGACAGGACTGCCTCGTTGTTCTGGGTTTCACAAGTTTTCCACCTTTGACAGGGTGCAATCTTTCCACTTTTCTATCACTCATTTTAGTGGAAAATATTTGCATTTTCCTTCTCTGACAGGTTTCCGCCTTACACAGGTTCTGACTTTCACAGGTTTTACTGTGTTTTGTTACGATAGCCCTGGGAAGCAAATACACCTCCCTAACCAATTGTTTTTTAGCCATATTTCTCGAAAAAAAAAAAAAAGGAAGTATGAAGCATGATATTACAATGCAATCGGTATGAATTTTATTAAAGAAGCTTGGCGAAATTAAACGCTAACCGACGTCTCTCTATTGATGACATGCATAACCTTTGCCTCTTTCATCCAAGAAGAAAAACATGCAAAAACAAACAAATAAGCAAAAAAACTCAGCATAATTCACCAGAAAACATTACAAAATTCATGAGTTCTATTAATGCAAGAGAAAATGCTTTACATTGAGCACATACTATGGTACCGAACAATATAATAGAAACAATATAATAGAACCAATCAGAGTAGCGTATAGAGCAGTCTAAAGATCATCAGTAACCTGACACTCTTCAGTTCATCATTGCAGCTTCTTGTCAGCATCTGAAAGTCAAATAATTTTTTTCAACAGAAAGCATTATCTAAATTAAATCTGTATGGAGAATATGTTAGGGTTTCCCATTAAGTCCATTTGTCCCTGTGGCTGCTTGCTTTTTTGCTTGTTAATCCTCTCTGGGAACTTCGTTGAGTTGTAAGATTTCACAGGTGTCCCAGTGCGTATTTCCATTTGAACAGGACGGTAGCTGCTGTGCTGGGGAGATGAGTCTAGCCCCTACTCTGAGCTCACTGCTGGGCGTTTCCTCCTCACACCCATTCAGACCTTTTGGTTCTCAGGTGCGTAGCACTGCCGGACTTTGCCAGCTGGTCAGGGGGTGGTAGGTCAGTAGATGAATAGTGCCCCGCAAGCCGGCTCCGGGGGGCTGAGAGAAGCTGTCCCCAGTCGGTGTGGCCCTCACTCCTTGGGTCCTGGGTGGCCTCTCTGTGGAGCCTACCCCGGAGCTCTGGATGAGTCCCGGCCATCTTCTCACTGGCTGAGGACATCACCTCACTCTCATACTCATCTGGAAGCTCCATCCTTCCCGACACATCGGACTTCTCATTGGGGCTGTTGACGTTGGTCCTGGTGCACTGCTCTCTGGCCCACACGCCTGGGTGAGTTGGCATCTCCTCTTCCTCCCACCCGCCATCCTCACTGATGTGACTCGGCCTTCTCTCCAGGCTCTGAGAGGCCACGCGTTCCCCAGCGTGGCCAGGGGGAGACGTCAGGTCTCGGCTCTCTCTCCAGCTGGAGGAAGTCCTGGCCACCCCCTGGGGCGCTGGCCCCCTCTGCATTCTTCTGCGCACGCTGCACATCAGGTCAGCGACGCTGAGGAGGAAGGAGAGGGCGCTGACTCCCCAGATGAAAAGCATCATAATGGACTTTTCCGTGGGCCGAGAGATGTAACAATCCACCACGCTGGTGCAAGGAGAATGGGAGCAAGAGAACCTCTTTGGAACCATGAAGCCAAAGAGAAGATAGTGCAGGGCCCCAAAAGCTGCCTCGATCAGGGTGCGAAGAAAGAGGTGGGCGATATAGCCAGACGAGTAGTCTGGGATGTCCAGGCTGTGCCCCTCCCTGGAGGGCCGTGGGCGGTGCCTCTCCGCGGTGGTCAGGTCCGACGGGTCATGGCTCCCTTGGCGGCCATCTGAGCGGCAGCGTCCAACCGCAGCGTGCATGGCACCTTTGTGGAGCACATAGACGCTGAAGACAGCGTAAGGGAGGAAGACCGACAAGCTCTGAATCAGCCAGAACCGGAAGTGGGACACAGGGGAGAAGATATCATAGCAAACGTTGGAACATCCCGGCTGCAGAGTATTGCAAACAAACCTTTCCTGCTCATCTTGGTAGATGGGGTACCCTGCCAAAATGATCACCATCATCCTCAACAGTGTCATGAAGATAAGCCAGATCTTTCCTAGACAAGAGAAAGCTGGAATGAATGACAGCGTCACAGCCATATGAATATATTTCACCCCAATGACAGTTTTTAAGTATTTACTCAGGCTGAGAAAGGTGAACAGAGAAATCAATAAGCCCTAATGAAGGATGAATTTAATTACAGGAACAGTATAAGCTAGTCAGTTCATTTGACAAACATTTATGGAGCACTTTTAATGTGTCAGACACTGTACTGAACCTATTTGTAAAGTGCTTTGTAGTTAGCAGATTACAGCAAGCCTTATATATTAAAAATGTTTTCATCTGACTCTGCTAATTTGGTCTTTTGGTAATGTTCTCTGGACTGGACTATCTAGAAAGAATGTTTTGGTAAACAAATTGACAGTATAAATCAAATCTTACTCTTCTTAGGAGAATAAACTTTTTAAAGAATGTTAGTATATTCCTGTAACTGTATATAGCAAATACATGTTACTCATTTCAGTAAGTCTTCATTATTTATGATAATGGTCCACAAGATCTCTGTTTAATTACAAGGTTTTCATGTCATGTTGCTCCATCGTCCTTGACACTGAATATCTTTAGGAACATTCCATTTTTCAGATGTTTCAATAATGCAGAAGTCTTTTTCCCCTATTCCAGTTAATATGAATTAATGAGGTTTGTTGTTCTTCAATTCATCATGAATAAATGAGACCAGGCTAGAAACCAAAACAACTTCAAAGCCTTATTATCATGCCACAGGCCAACTGTTAAGGAACATGTTAAAGACTTCACAAAAAAATTGTAAATATTGTATTTTGTGACAAAATAGAGAAAATATCACTGATATCAGAAAACAAGGCTGTATTATAAATGAAGTCAGTTAAACTCAAAGAACGATATCATCACATGATGAAAGTACTGACTCAAACTTTTAAGAATAAGTACATTTTGTTTAAACTCTACAAAATAATGAGAAAGTAAAGTATCAACCCGCCACTTCTCAGGATATCTTAAGGCTTTTCTCAGTCCTTTTTTCTAAGACAGTCACACCTCTCTGAAATTTGACTTGTCTGAAACAAACACAGACAACTTTAGTATTTTTTTTGTTCCAAAAAAAAAAAAACTAAGCTTAAGTTGAAATTTGGTTTAATGTGCATGAGAGAAAATACTAATCTGTATGAATTAAGCTTTAAAAATAAAATCTAAAAAGATGAACAAGAAAAAGGCATAACCTAGGTATTAATTTCTCATTAACTTTTACTGTATTGTATCTTTTCTGGGTATTGTGAACCAGAGAATAGTTACACAAAAATCCCCCCTCCTCATCTGTTTTAGTCTTCAGACACGGCCCCCAAATGACAGGGAGAAGAGGCTCCCTGAGAGAAATAATACTCACACCACCATTTCTCTCATGACTTCCTTCACTGATGAAGGAGAAAGCTGGAGTCCACAGCTCCCTCTCCTCCAGCAACACATAGGCCTTCTCTTGGAGGTGGGCCAGCCAAACTGAAATTAGGAAATAACTTGACCCTTTAAGAAGGACTTGATTCTAAAATGGCAAAGAAAGCAAAAGCAGAACAGGAGATTTGGAGTTTTTTTCCCATTACTCACCCACAATTGTCACATTGTAATTTAATGTGATGATTAGGAACCCCAGCAAGTCCAAACGTTCCATGCTTCGAGAATGTCACAAACTCCAAGCTGCTGGAGACGCCGTGTTTCCCAAGAAGATGGGAAATCCTTACAGGAATAAATCTATTTTAGCTACAAAAAGACTTAACTGTGAGGCTCAGAGATATGAAACGGAAGGGTTGAGCACAGGAGGAGGAGGCCAGTTTTGCTGTCCTGGAGTTTAGAGGGCCCTGAGCTGTTTGCCTCTGAGGCAAGGCATTCCTGACAACTGCCTTGACCAGAAAATGACAGCAGGAGGCATCTCGCATAGTGGGCTATTCTTACCCTCTTGGGGCATTCCAAGCCCGTGGCACTGCTCAGATGTCTCCACCAGAAGAGTCAGACGTTTCAGGATATAATAGAAGCAACTACTTTTAACTCAGGAAAGAAAACTTCTGTTCACTAGCCTAGCAAACTTCTCTATTGAAAAGGTGTTTCCTCCTTTAAAATATTACGCTAAGTGAATTAAGTCAATCACAAATGGACAAGTATTGTATGATCTGACTTACGTGAAATACCAAGAATAGCCACATGTATAGAGATCAGAGTTTAATAGTGGCTACCACGGGCTGGAGGGAGGAGGAAAAGGGCAGTCATTGTCTGGGAAGCACTGAGTTTCTGTTTATGGGGATGGAAAATTTGGCAGTGGATATTGGTGATGGTTGCACAACACGATTGATGTGATTGGTGTCACTGAATTATATACAGGAAAAATGTTGAATTTGAAAATGTGTGTTATATGTATTTTACAACAATTAAAAAAATAGATATTCCATTCTTGAAAATATTTCCACCCTCGTCTTCACTTGTTGACGAAGTCCTAAAATGTTCGTTTTGTCTTCTCTCTGAAGTATGCCCACCATAACCCTAACCCACAAGGATCTTGCCCTTACCCTGAATTTCTTTAACATGGATGCAGCAAAAGTCTGTACCCTGGACTCTTGTTCCGGCTTTAGACTACAACACGGTTATCCTCTAGTTGCCTACTGTGCACGTGAGCAAAAATAGCTCTTCACCTGGAGGCAGCAAGCCCCTGGAGTTCAAACCCCAGGTCAGGGATTTAGTCACTGAACAAGTCATTAAATCTCTCCAAATATAGTCATCTTACAACAGGGAGAATCATACCACTCAACTCAGGATTTGTATGAGGCATCAGTGAAATAAAAGATTGGCAGCACCTAGCACAGAGGAAGTCTGCAGTGACTCCCATCAGTGGCATTTCACTCCCTAGCTGGCCTATAAACCCTTCAGATTCCATCTTCCTTTTGTTTCTCTCAACCTCTTCTAGCCCAGGGCTGCTCCCAATGAATCTGCTTAATAAGTGTCCTTTAAATTTGTAGTAAAATATCTATATTGTATGGACCTGCTGACATCAATCACCGTTGCATCAAAATCCTAGCGTGGCTGTTACTTTGTATCTGGGAAGATTCCGTCCTGCAAGGCTGGAGATCTGTCATCAGGATGAAAATTGTGAACTTGAAAAGGAATGATTTCAATTTTCCATTAAAGCTATTCTTTCTATTCCGATCTTCTCTTCATTTCTGATCTATTCTTGACTTTAGTAATATCCTTCGAAAGAGTCCCAGAAGAGGAGTACAACAAAGCCACTTTCATCTGTACTCATACGACACGGTCCCATCCACGAAAAACATTTTGACCCCCTTGAAAGGAACAGTAGTTTTGCTATATTTTAGTCAAATGCTTTGACATGAGCAATGAATTTAGCAAAATTGAACTTAAGTAAAAATATTGAAATAGTTATATGGTTCAAGTGAAAAAGAAAGTCTTTTTGTTTCCTAATAAGCTGTTGATGACATTGGCTTAAAAATGGAAATATCAGGAAAGCAATGACTGTATTTTGCTGTGTGATGTAAATAGCGTATCCCAAATGCGAAGTAAATTAGAACCACGTAACTGGAGCTTTTCATGCCTCAGTCTTCTCTTCAGTGAAGTAGAAAAAAGAATGTACCCTTCACCCTGCTCAGAGTGGACGTGCTAGGCAAAGTGAGATCATTCAGCCATGTAAGGAATGAACTCCTGTTACGTGCTGCAACCTGGATGAACCTCAAAAACATCATGTTAAGTGAAAGACGCAAACACAAAAGACCACATATTATACAATTACATTTATGTGAAATATCCAGAATAGGTAAATCCATAGAGACAGAATACAGACGGGTGGTCGCCAGAGACTGGTGGACAGAGGGGAGTGACTGCTTAAGGGTAACTGGGTTTTATTTTGGAACGATGGAAACGTTTTGGAACTAGATAGAGATGATAATAGCACAGCATTGTGAATGTACAAAATGCCACTGCTCACTTTAAAATGATTAATTTTATGCCATGTGAATTTCTTTAAATGAGAGCCTCCACTTGAAAATGACTTAAGAACGTATAGAACTACACAAATGGTGCACCTTAGGGTCTGCTTGTCTGGGTTTCAACCCATTATTTTTCCTTTCGCTTCTGACAGCTGTCTTCTAAACAGCCAGTGGTGCCGTCCCTGTCTTCCTCCCCATTCTTGTCACTGTGCTCTTTTGCCTCTAAGTCCACCCTTGTCCCCATCTTTGTCTTTTTTTCTCTTTCTCCTCTTTTCCTCTCTCCTCTACTAGGAGACATTTTTGCTTTAACTGGAATACCTAACTCCAATAGTTGCAGAAAGCTGGATGGGAATAAGAGAGGAGGAGTATGAGGGGGTGGCTGGAACATCAAACCCTTGGCTATGCCTCTATAAAATTTCCCATTTTTGATGGAAAGGTTACCATTTGGGAAAGACTTTGTTTATGGAGTGTAGAGAAGATTTAAGGGAGTACTGTGCTCATACCAATGTAAAAGAACCCCAGTGAAGGTCAGGGGATGGATGTGGCTGAACCGTACAAGACGCCAACCTGGGATTCATTTGCAAAATGAAAGAAGTTAGCAAACTAGAAAGAGAACTATAGAGCCATACGCTGTTTAACCTTGGTTATACCTCTCTCAAGCTTAGTGTCACTGGCAACTTAGTGACACTGGCAAATTATTAAGGCCTCAGTTTCACCATCGATAAATTGTGGGCAGCAATATTTACTCAGTTATTTGAGAACTAGGGTAATTTAAATGAAGTACAAGCGAGTCACTTGACCCATGAGAGGCTCTCAATAAATGATAACTGTGGTGGCTTGCAGGTTGCTGTGATGCTGGAAGCCATGCCACCAGTATTTCAAATAGTGGCAGGGTAACCAGGTTTCAGCAGAGCTTCCAGACTAAGACAGACTAGGAAGAAAGGCCTGGTGATCTGAAAATTAGCCAAAGAAAACCCTTAGAATCACAACAAACTATTGTCTGATATAGTGCTGTAAGATGAGCCCCCTAGGTTGGAAGGCTGCTGCAATGCACTAACATGCCAATGATCACAAAGACGGTGCAGGACCAGGCAATGTTTCATTTTGTCGTACATGGGGTCGTCATGAGTCAGAGCCGACTCAATGGCAAGTAACAACAACAACACTTAATAATAGTGATCTGATAGAGAGAAGAGAAGCTGATGTCAAAGAAGGGTTCACAGAGAACAGTAATTCTCCAGATGTGTTCCTAGGAGCCCTGGGTACCTGAGAGTAGTGAAACATGGAGGGAGGAGGATCAAGCCTCCAGGCTCTACCCACTCCCACTCCTTTTACCTCACTCAGATCACCTCTTCTTCTATCTAGGCTATTTTTTATGCTTTGGACAAGAGTCCCTGTGAATAAAGGAGTTATCTAAAAAGAAAAGTTAGGAAACATCTGGTCTATGTGGACATAATTTGGGGAGGCAGCCTAACATCAAGGTTAAGAACACATGCTCTGGAGTTCAACAACCTGGGTTAAAATTCTAGCTCCTACCTGTGTGACCTCTCTGTACATTAGTTACCTTGTTGTAAAATGACATAACCTAACCTCTCTAACGATTGTGAGGAATAAATAAGAAAATACCTTGTCTTTATCATAGTGCCCAGCCAATGATGCACACACAATAACCGTTAATACCATTCTTATTACCTTCCAAGAATAAGGTGAGGATCTTGGAGTGGCTTTTTTCCAGGGTATATGAGCTACATCTGCAGAAACCTGGTGGAATAGATCATTTCTCTTGAGTGTGACAAATGGCTCCTAGGAAAATATAGTTCAGCTTCTGGAAGACTTAGAAATGATGGCATTTGTTTTGTTTTGGGCTCTGTGTGTGTGTTCAAGGAATAGCTTAATTATCTGATTTGAGAAATGAATGTTTTACTTGTTCTCAGAATTTAAACAACTTTTTCAGGAGTGTGGATAGAAAGCAAATGTTCAGCAGCTGCACGAACACAACAGACTAATCACGTCTACGGTTGCATTCATTTGCATATGTAAATCTATTAACAAAATAGATTCTAGCTGATTACTCTCCTGACAGTATATTTTATCATAGATGTAGGTAATCTAGGGAAAACCTGCTCTGTGCAGACCACCACACACACACACACACACACACACACACACACACACACACACACACACACACACAAACACATACTCTCCCAAACTAGACTTGCAGCTAAAAACTAAACCAGGCAACAGGAGACCGTGGAGAACTGGTACAAGGAAGAACTTTTCTTCAGGCTGAGCTTTTTACTGCTCCTAGGATCCCAAAACTAGCATTCTTGGACTGTATTTGTCTTAGTTGTCTAGTGCTGGCAGAACAAAAAATACTACAAGTGGGCGGCTTTAAAGAACATAATTTATTGTCTCACAGTTTTGGAGGCTAGAAGTCCAAATCAGGGCACAGGCTCTCGGGAAAGGTCCTTCCTTGTCGATAGCGCTGGGTGTTTCTTGGCAACCTGTAGATGTATCTTCACAGGGTTTCTGTCTTCCTGCTGTGTGTCTCTCCATGTCTGTTTTCCCTTCTTATAAGAGACTACTCAGAAAGAATTAGGTTTAGGACCCATCCTACTCTGGTATGACCTCATTAACATAACAAAAGGAAAATCCTATTCCCAAACAGGGTCACATTCAC